AGTGAAAGAATCTAGATAATTAGCTTGGTGCTGTCTGAATTTAAGATGAGTGTCAGACATTCGACTGAAATTCAATCTGCCTCCGTATCCTTTTTTAAAAATGCTTGTTTTAAACTTGTATGATTATAACGATACCCACAGTATCGATTTAAACATTTTTTTAATGGTCTGGCTATAAGTGCATTAGTGTGAAGTCACTTCTTTAATAAAGCCTGTTAACAAGCCATCAAAAAGCCATAAACTACTGGGCCACTGTTAAGTAGCTGATCACTACTCGGTGGCTGATAATGACGTTTTGGATGACTCACTGGTTGGCCTCCAGGAGGATGACCGTGACTCCCTCCACAGTGACCTCGGTGTTCATGGGGAGGATGTGGATGTACTGCTCTGCCACCTTAAGTTTGGTCTTCACTAGATTTCCTGTAATCTGACCGGGAGACGACGCAGTTGTCACTTAACACAGATCTCTATAGTTTTCTTTCATACAGTCATGAAGCAGCAGCCACTATGCACCAGTCTCAGCTCTCATCACGATGCTAATCATTGACTAATTCACCCATAATACCCTTTAAATAATTTCTTCAGTGATTCTGATCATCTGATAACTTTTCTGGGCTATGACCCACCTAGCGTCCAAGTTGAATTTCTGTGACCTACCAAATAAACAAAACCCCAATGGAGTCCTAATCAGTCCTTGCAAGTCTGTTTTTAGTTGTAATCCCAAGAGAACACACACTCCACTGTGATAAATCATGACCCATTTGACAGGAGAACTTACTTAATATCCCGCATCTTTCGCCAATATATTTTAATTTAGATACTATCTTTTGGGCTATTATGATTAGCTTCAGAGGTATGTCTAATATCTTAATGGGATATAATAGCCCATTAAGATAAAATGTACGATACCTGAAGAAATGTCTAATTTGAACCTGAAATAGGTAATATAAGTTTTGAATTAAAATTTTTTGTTTGGCAATAAATTGACCTCAGTTCGTTCAGTTTATTGCTTAATTCACACCTTAATTGGTTGCAACGTTTGCACAGTGATAACTAAGACCCAGGCAAACTAAATTTGCTGGATTTATTAAATGTCTTTATCCAAAACTGTGTCAAAAAACCATAAAGGTCTTCACATTTCAATGAGCTCCAATATGATCAGACGACTGGCGACTTGGTATTTATTCATAACTGCCAACTGCAAGCTAATTTCTCATTACAATGCAGTGCACAGAGATAACAAATGGATCATACATTTACTCTCTGAATTCTGTGGAAGAGAGCAGTGAGGAAGCTTTTTAATGAGGGGCAAAATATTTTCAAAGAACTCATCGCTTCCATAGTATCCAAGGACTAACAGGCCTTTGGAGGGAGACTGCCATTTATTTACCCCACGACCCGACAGACGTATCTAAATTAGCACACTGTTCCATTGTTTTCCAGTATGAATTAGACAAATGTAGAAATTGTGTGTGGAAAACTGGGGTAAAAACTAACATCCATAACCTTCATGTCAAGAAAAATAGGCCAAAAATGGCACAGTCTCATGTGGATCAAGTCATATAATTGACTCCTAAAATACATTTGTGCAGCTCAACATATGGCCAGTAGATGCACAACCCAGACAGTATAAACCCCATATCAGGCCACCAGATGAAATACATAGCAATACACCGGTTAAAGGAATTAAAATCATATTTTAATATGTCCATATTTCAAAATAGCCAAAACTTGACTTACTCTGTTACAGTAGATTGGTAATGTGGAGTTCTTGGTCAACCCTCCGTAGTGGTCTGAGTGGAAATGTGTGAGGAAGTAGGCAGTAATGCCCTCAATCTCTCCGTAATGAAAAGCATCTATGACAAACTTTGTACCTAAACAAAATCATATACAAATATCATAGCACAAAATAATTAAACTTTAAACGTATGCAGCAATATACGATATATGCTCACTCACTGACCTGGAATCTTCTTGTAGAAGGGACAACGTGGTAACTCTACTTCTCCATCAGCGTTCACTCTGTTCCACCTTCTTCCTCCTCTCCATCCTCTGTTCCTACCTCTCCCTGCTTCTCCCTGAGCGTTTGGTACATTATCTACAGTCACTGTACCCTGTGAGGTATCTGCAGTTGTGACAGCCTTACTTTTTCTTTGCCTTTCTCTCCTTGGTCGTCTCTGTCTTGAGTTTTCGCCAAGTGTTGGAACAGAGGTGGTGTTGAGTTCATTTGGTCCGCTCTCAGCCTCTTTCTCCTTCTCCTTCTCCTTGAGGGGTTTCAGGCCAAAAAACACCCCAATGTCGGTCTGCTTCAGACAGGAGGCCTGACCTGCCTTGCTCTGGCCCTTTTGAGGCGCCATGGTGTGAGATCTTTGGACAGTGGAGGTTTGTAATGAAGGCACTTGAGAAGACGTTGCGTGAGGTTGTTCTGATTGAACACTGCTGTCATTCAAGTTTCTTAAATGCAAGCTTGAGCTTAGAAGACTTTCTCTCAGGCGCTCTAAAACAATACTCTGTGGAGACTGAATGCTACTCTTACATGGACTGATGGCACTGGTAGATCTACTGGCAGCTTCTTTTTCACCTGTGGAATCTGATTTGTTTTCAGCAGCTGTAGAGGCAGCTAGCTGATTGGTGGGCTGTACTGAGGTAACTGACTCCAGCTGGGTGTTTGAAGAAGCATGCTCCTTTTCCTGCACAGTATTGGTTTCAAAATTATCTATAAATTGAGACAGGAGCTCATCTTCACTTGAGAAACCGTCACTGAACAGCAACATCGAGTCTTCACCTTCATTTTCAGACGCATCGTTATTAAAAAGCGCTTTTCTACATTCGCTGATTTGGACTTCAGTCTCTGCAGGGAACTCAGAAAGCGGAGAATAGGATATTGCTTCATTGTCAGGGGAAGGTTCACTTTTGGTAAAACCTTCACAAGCTTTTCTTCCACTCTCAGTCTTGATAGGAGTGGATGAAAGCTCTGTTCTACTTTCTTGGGAAGCACTAATAGACTTTTTAGTAGAGGACAACCAGCCTTTCTTTTTCTTAAAATCCTCTGGGGCAGGTGAACGTAGAAACCGAAGGCCATTTCTGAGTTTAAGCGGAGGTGTTCCCGTCTGACTATTGTGTGGGGATGCGTTACGATTGGATAGGGCAGAAAGACTGTCCTGTGAAGTCTCTAAAACAGAGCTATCCACCTCGTTTAACAGTCCGGGGAGAGAACTGAGGCTGCTCTCCCTGCTGGTCTCTGCCTCTGCCTGCTGGGACAGACTGAGGAGGGCTGTGTCACTGTTTGCTCGACTGTGGGCCAGAAGTGTGTGGTTGAATTTCTTGTAATGGTTTGGAATGGTGGAGGAGCACTGGAGGCCATCGGGACACTCTGTGTGAACAGATAAAACTCACTCAGACTCATGGCAGCAGGGTTGAAAATGACAATTATACAAAAGCACCTAAATACAAAATCTACTAAAAGAATTTGACTGATCTGATTATCCACATTACTCATCATGAACAGAAATACTCAATTGTATTAAGTCTGCTGTGGCTCTTGGGCGAGCTTCCTACGGCAAATAACACTGATTATTATGGTTTTCTTGAACTGGGCAAAGCCCACCATTCGAGGTGATTAAACCCAAGTTTAATGAGTTTAGCACTATATTGTCAGTATACTTTATAACTCTCACACAAACAACTCTGCATCCATACAACCTTCTTGAGTTGTCAGATGACGTAAACACTTGCAAGTGCTTAACATGGGAATCTTTCCAGTCTCTACCGTCCATCCCATGTGACATAAACGCAGCACAATTAAGGAAGCTATTGGGATTGCATTATGGGAAACATAGAAGTTGTGTTTTTTTGGAGCTCTGATCATCCTAGGGACAGAAAGTCAGGCTATCTCAGGCGCTTGCTCATTTCAAACATAGTTTTTTTTTGTCTCTAGTGATACAATCTAATACATACATAGATAATTAGGGTTTCGGATGTGGATGATGATCTGTAAGTGAGGAGGAACATGTATTTGGGATCGGTATCAAGTGAATCAGTCCTTTTCAGATCAAGTACATGAAGAAGTATAGGATGTATTGTACCTTTGCATGTGTCCCTGGGAGTGTCAAGACATTCAGCAACATGCCATCTTTGAGTCTGTACCACCAAAATGGAAAAGGGCATCTGACACATGGGGCAAAAGTCACCCGAGGAAGGTCCCTCATCGGCAGCATTGTCTGTTTGCACTGTGCCATCAGATGACTTTGGGGGTACACTGTGTGCCTCTAGACTGCAATGTCCGTCTGTGTGAACACCAGTGGTGCAGTCTCCACTCTCAGCTGTCCTGCCAGGTGACTTTACTGAGCAAGAGGTGTCTCTCTTGGAGTTTTTTCTGGACGTACGTCTCCTTTTGGTGACAGTTACAGGCAAGGACGGCGATTCGTGTGTCTTTTTCTTTTTCTTCTGAAGAGGTTTGTACTCCCAAATGTCATTTTCAGACTCGTCCTTCTGTGACATTTGGAGAAAAAAGAAGCGTAACGCCTATAATGTTACACAATGACCTCCTCAACACCCTGGTTATTACACAAGCTTTGACGTTTGATAACATCCCGCAGTTGCCGAAAAATAACACACGATACAGTAGATTAACGACTACTGTAAATATGTGTGACACAGTAAAGGATAACCGTCGTTTCTCTTCATTATTAGTTACAATATCGAGCTAGCATACTGTTTGGTTTTGCAGAGACATGTCAACGCTTACCGCCACAGAACAACGATGAATGTGGTAAAGACAAGTAGAGGAACACAGCAGCATATTCGCAACATATTTCGCGACGTTAATTAATTTGTTGTTCGAATTAAAAAGACTGGAAAAAATTCAAATCACTTCATGGTCATTAATTTAGTTACACTTAATTTTTAAATTATAGGAAAAATAGCTTTCTTGTAATTTTTTTTAATTTTTTATCGTCGTGTCGAATCCGCGGTATGAATCTTTAGTGAGTTTACCTTAGCTAACTAGTTGATGTTGGAAACATGGCGTCCCAGTGCAGCCTCTCCACCTTATTTCCTACCCAGAGTGAGCTGGATTGCGCTCTGGAAGAAGCTCAGACACAACAAGAGAAAGAAAACCTCGTCTTTCAGTGTTTGAAAAAACTAGACGAGAGGCAGGATCTGAAGATACCCGATTTCCAGACAGGTTAGACCTTAATGTTACAGCTCTGCCTCGGTTAGCACTGTCTCTCTCTCTGTCTCTCTCTCTCTCTCTCTCTCTCTCTCTCTCTCTCTGTGTCTCTCATGTCACTACAGGACTCGACATGTTCACAAAGTATGAATACTGCACAGTCAGGGTTTCCTCTCCTTTTTAAAAGCCAACTCTGACGATTTTTTGCCATGTTTATATGTTTCTTACAGTGTCAAATGCACTTAAAGCTCTAGTGTTTTTATACATTAGATAGCTATCTTATATATATATATACACCCCAAACAGCCAGTGAGAGAGAGAGAGAAGTAGCATCAAAGACTAATGTAGATTAAATCAAGAGCAGCTGCTTTGGTTAGGAGGTTTAACTTTAAAAAAATACTAAAAAAAACAGTGAATAGGTAATAACAATATGCTCTGTCTTTGTCTTCCTCAGGACCATTTGTCAACATGCTCCCCTCTAAAACCTTCATGTTATTTTCAATATGAAGCATGAACTGCTCAGTGGGAAATCTAACCTATAATATAGTAACAATGTTGGTTATAGCTTTTTCTTTGATGGCACAATCATAAACAGGATTACTGGGCAGACCTCTGCTTCCTCAGTGGTTCAGTTCATCTGGGAATTTGTGTTTTAGTTTGTTGTTCCTTTAACAACAACAACAAAAGCATACATATGGGAATAACATAACAGTTGTCTTTAGTGGCTGCTGTTGTAACTGCACCAAATAATATGAATTGTGTCGGCCCGTGACTGAAAAATGAAAAGAGCTAAATTAAGAAAAAAATCATCTAATGCTTCTGTTGTCAACACTCCTGTTATATCTCATCACACCAGTAGATGGGGATCTACAGTAGAACATCAAATAGCAGAATGAATATATGTGAATGAAATATATGGGATTATATCTGGATCCCTTAAACAACCCCTCATGACAATTTTAAACTGCATAACAGACACATTTGAAATGTTTCTCTCTATATATATATTTAGCCAATTTGTGGTATATAGTTTTGGGGCCATCCCTCGCTCTATATGAAATTACCTGACGAACATGGAGCATGGCGGCCAAAGGAGTAGCGTATCTTGATTACAGAAAGTGTGTGCCTCCAGAGGGCACATACAACACGTCATATCATTTGCTTTTTGTCACTTTAACTGTGTAACTTGACCCATTCATTTCAGGATTATCTTTAAATGTAGCAAGTTACTTCTCATTTGCATGGTCAGAGATACTTAATAAGCATTATTGTCCTTGATCTCTTCTTTATGTAGACCTTAAATGAATACCAGCTCAGTTTAAGACCACACAAATAAGGAAGGGGTTGTGAGATAATCCTGGCAGGCGTTCGCCTATGTTCACATTAAACTAAAGTAAAGCAGCATTTTGGGTACCAGAGAAGATCTGCAATCAGAGACTTTGAAAGAGCTATTTCTTCTTTCTCCCACCTGCATCATTGTTGAAGCCAGAAAAAAGACAGATTCTTCCTTTTTTTTTTTTTAAATTTAACCTTTGTTTAACAAGGTCAAGTGCTAGTGAGATTAGAAGACTTTTCTAAGGAGACATTGCAGAGCTAGGCAGCAGCATAAGTAAGACAAAGACTTTAAAACCGGCAGTAAAATATTCAGAACAAATAACGAATGCTGTGTAGAGGGTAGAGTATTAGTTTCTATTACTTTCATGCTGGATTTTGGTTCTCAGTATGCTGTAAAGCAAATGTATTAGTCAAGTGCATGTGAGTGTGACAAACATTATCAGACACAATCTGGAGTGTGTGCGAGGTAAATATGAAAACATTTATCAGATAATCTAGATCTACAGAAATTAATTAATAAGCATTTAATAGCTTCATAACACTTTAGAAGCTGTGAGCGCTTCCATGTCATTTCTTTTATCATTCAATGTTTTTACTCATGTGACATAAATCCAGTATCAGGCCTGACAGATATACCCCTACAGTGATGGCCACTGTAAAGCCTTTGCCTACACTGTGACTAAACATAATTAATAAGTTGACAGCATCATTTTCCACTTTTGTGATTTGCTCCAGGCTTGGAATGGCTGAACACGGAGGGGCCTCTGTCTTTGAACAAGGAGTTGGCTGGTAAAGTGGTGCTGCTGGACTTCTTTACTTACTGCTGCATCAACTGCATGCACATCCTGCCTGACCTTCACCAGCTAGAGAAGAAGCACTCTGTCAAAGGTATGGACTTACAAAAGCACACTCAACATGGCTTAAAGGGGTTGAGAGATTAGATTGATGCATAGAGTAATGCCATATCTCACAATTGTATATAGCTAATTTACAATGCAAAAATATTCCATTTTACACAGTTAAAATCCTATATGATGTGGGAAAAATAAGACAGTCCTCCCCAAGTAGACTCTCATAATCCTCCCACTATTAGAGCTAAGCAGAAGCAAAGAAGCAATGTGTCAATGCATTAATAAGTGGAATTATGATAATGAGAGAAGATTTGATATTCATGTGAAGGCTGTTGTTACAAGGCACCTTGGAAAGCACAGTGTGTCTAAGTCATTTGGCAGAAGGGAAAACTGGGGAACAAACACGAGGGTTTGTCTTCTGTTTATTTGGGTTTGGTTTCTCACACGTTTTTCACATGTTCAAAATCCAACAGGATAAAACTGAGTTGTCAAGTGTGCCTATAATCCTGTTTATCAAGCACACGCTGTCCCTTCCCTGCCAAATTGTTAAAAATTAAATACTTCTGAAAAGCAGCACTGGTCTGAGTAGTACAGCTAAAGTGGGCCTCGCATGAGTCAGTGGCCTGGCAGGCTTTACTGAGGGATCACAATTCCATTGATACCTTATTATGGGTCATGCTGCGTCACAGGAACATGTGTAAGTTCACTGGAGCAGAGAAGCTGTAGTACATCAACTCAACTTCTCCCCTCTTCTTTTCCATGAGCACGAGGGCTCTTATCTCAGCTGTGAAGAGAGAGTAACTAAAAATACTTCCAAGCTGCAGTGTCTTCGAGTACGGGGCCCATAATTGTACCCTGCTGTAGTTCACTGTATGGCTCTTTATATAGCCACTCCATGTTAAGCATAATCACATCCGACTGAGTCTGGCATCCTGCTGACCCTTCAAGGGATCATCTGAGGAAGTTGTGCAGCTTGAAATTCAGTTTATGAGCCAGGCGGGGCACAGAACACACACACTGCAGTGCCACCGCACATTATCGCACTTGCCTTATCTTTGGCACTGCTATGGGTACATTCTGTTTGCTGCTCTGGTCAGTGAGGTGTGGGAGCCACCCTGTCCAGTCACTCCCACAGTCCATCCCCCCACACCCACCCACCCACCCATCGTTACTGCAATCTGTGCTGGTACTGTACTGCTTGGCAGAGGCCGTGGGTGACGAAATCCACTGCAGATAGTGTGAGTTTGATGGTTTGGAATCGTGTGTTTTTCTGTTGAGGGCGACTCAATGATGAAAACATTTCTAATTTGGGGTTATTTATGAAGAACTATAAAATCTAAATTAAAATATAAAAACGTTGATGGTTTTGTGTGACTAAGAACAAACTAATTTAGAGTGTGTATGTGTACATTGTAATTATAAAAAATAAACTTACTTCAAATTGTCTTAAATTATGCATTTCATTTGAAGACCACAGTGGGTATGAGCACAATTTAAATATATATATTTTTTTATGATTGTAATTCACATACCACAGTTTAAGACTGTGCCTCAATTTCCTGTATTTGCACATATATATATTTATATATAAAGGTAAAAGATACCTATATAATAATATATATGCATTTTTATATATAAACATTTTTGAATCAAGTAATGATATGAGTACAAAAGTGTGTTAACAGAGAGCATCACAAACATGTATTGTGCACACTTTTAGTATTCAGTTGCACAACATTTGAACAAGTGACAAATTCTAACCAATTGCTCTCCTTGTCTGTATAATAACCGTGGTATTAGTAGTCTTTGATGAGTACTGAGAAATATCTAAGATAAACATTTAGAGCCTCGAAGCACTAAAACATTTCCAGGAAGCTCACTGAGACCTACGTTATATTATCCTGGAGGGTCACTCACTCAATAACAAGGCAAGACCCTTGAGGTTTTCCGTAGAAAATTGCATCCGTTTCCCTTCTTCTGCCTAATCTCTGTGGCATACACATCTTTGTGTGTGATGTTTTGTGTCTTTGTGAACTTGTTATCGATCCGGCTTATGCAACTTGTTGACAGATGGATTTAGAAAAAAAGATTTTCATGGGATTACTAGATGGACTTGAGTTTGGACCTTTTGTGTATCTTTCAATTACTGTCACATACTCAGAACCACGCAAGTAACAAACTGACATTGTGCTTTCTGTTGAAGGAGTAAAGCTCCAGGAGTGAAAAATATGTCCTGAAAATCCAATTTTTAAATTACATTTTTTTTGTCTCTCTCAGATGGATTGGTTGTTGTTGGTGTACACTCAGCTAAATTCCCCAATGAAAAGGTAAGTGTTTTCATTCTTCATCATGACTTTTACCTTTGGTTAGGCTCACCTACTTGTACCTTCTTAATTAATTAATAAATTTTGATATAGAACCGTTCTTTTTCAACATGAACCACTCCCACTTCCCCTGGTGACAAATCAAAGCACCAAAGCATTAATCTCTAATGTTAGACCATGATACCAGCATGAGAGTCTGATTTTAGACCTCAGATGATATTTATCAAAATTATCATAGATACAATTATCAGTTTAAAACCAGATATCATCTTTATGAAGCTGGTCGCCAATGTGACAGACACATGACAGCAGAATCATCTCAAGGCTGCTACTGCTGCCGTGGGGGGGGGGATTTGCTTGACACACTCAGTACATTCACTACTTGTTTGGAAAAAAACAAAAAAGAGGGACCTTAAAATCAGATTTATTTTTTTTGCTTGTGTGTTGGGATGAAATCATAACAGATTATATTCTTGGTTGTGTGGTTCTCACTTAGGTTAAGAGATTCCATTTCTATAAATATTCTTTGTACCAAAGACAGATGAAGATGAATCCCATCATTTTCAAATAATATCCAAATATCCTCATTTTGAGGCTCAGACATTCATTTTAAAACAGGATTGTGCTCAAACTGCAAGTATGCTGGGATTTATTTTGAGTTGAAAGTTTTAGTTGAATAATCAAATATTATATTGTTTCAGTTATTTATTTAAAAAATGCCAGATTAATTGATAATGAAAATAATTTCTTCTATATGACTTATTAGGTTCACAGATCTTTACTCATTTGTCTGTGTTTGTTACCAACTCCTCAAAGTTCCTGGACAACGTTCGCAGTGCTGTGCTCCGCTATGACATCTGCCACCCAGTGGTGAACGACAGTGAGGCACACCTCTGGCATGAACTGGAGGTGTCCTGCTGGCCCACGCTGGTCTTACTGGGCCCACGTGGCAACCTGCTCTTCTCCATAGTGGGCGAAGGCCACCGCGACAGGCTGATGCTTTTTACTGACTGTGCCCTCCGTTACTACGGGGAGCAGGGTCTGCTGAAGACACACGCGGTGAAGATCAAGCTGTACCGAGACTCCCTGCCTACCAGCTTCCTATCTTTTCCAGGGAAAGTGGCCATAGACAGCAGCGAGAAAAGGCTGGCCATAGCAGACACCGGCCATCACCGAATTCTGTTGTTGTCCTCGACTGGACAGTTGCTACATGTCATAGGAGGTAAGATTGAGGAAACAGGATGGAGATGTGCAGTATATCGGGATTAAAATGACAGATGACTTGGTCGGTTTGTGGGACCTCAAGGTGTTTTTAGTATAATGTTTGTGCTCCTTTATCAGTTACCACAAAAACATAATTTCTGAGTTAGTGTAGTGGATATTCTGTGTGTTAAATGCTGAAATGTGCATTGAATGTGCACTGTCATCATATGTACTAACTAAAAAAATAAGTCTTGTTTTTGCTTTATTTTAGCTTAATTTGAATCTTTAAAGATTAAACAACAGTGTTTTAGCATTACTGATATTTTTAGAGTGCTCACATGCCTCAACAACCCTCAGAGGAGCCACATGGTAGTCTGTGTTGTCCCTAGACCAACAGAGAGGTTGGCAACAGCAGGGAAAAGTACACACTGGGAACTGGCACTGAGCTAAGTGTGGACAAAATCAGGGAGAATGTTGATGCATGTTGACCCCACTCATCCCTATTCTCACATAGTGTGCAAGATTTTAATATGTATATTTGCTTGAGAAGTTTAAAGCACCAAGCAAATCTTAAAGGTGTTATGTATTAGGACAAATTCTTAAAGAATGTCTTTTTGTTTTTGTTCTGTATGGAGTGACTCTGGTTCAGAAGGCTTTGTCCTTCATTTAACTTGAATGAGAGCACATCTTCCTGCGCAAAGTTGTTACATGCAGTATAAGCACATTAGATTAAATAGACCACAGTCACAAATTGAAATAATTACTCTAGATAGCCGAGAAGATTAAAAACTGCCTAAATCCAACCCTTGTTAACTGAGAGATAAGTGATTTATAAAAATGGAATACCTGAGGAACAGCTAAAGCTGCTGTTCCTTAGTAACCTTTCTATGTCAAAAACTCCACAAAGCATTTCAGACACAGATGCTTTGTCTCACACAAACAAAGCGTTACATACCTGCACAAATGTCCCTGCAACACTCTGTTATGACAGTGATGATGGAGGAAATCTACCAGAAACATAATTCAATTCAATTCAATTTTATTTGTATAGCACCAATTCATAACAGAAGTGATCTCAGGACACTTTTCAAACAGAGCAGGTCTAGACCGAACTCCTTAACATTTACAGAGACCCAACAGTACCACCATGAGCAAGCACTTGGCGAGGGGGGCAAGGAAAAACTGCCTGTTAAAAGGCAGAAACCTAGGACAGACCCTTCGGCTCTAGGTGGGTGGTCGTCTGCCATAAGGCACAAGTGTTTCAGTCAGCGAAAGAGCTTTGGTGAATTTAGTATGGAAAGAAATCGTAACTTCTGGGTTTAATGTGACTTATAAGTGAGGTGACAGTACGTGCTCCAGTTCTCAAGCACTCACCGAAAAGGTTGAACACCCATGGGGAAGGCTGATTCAAAAAATAAATTAAATAATAATTACCAAGTCTTGATATCTGTAAGTATCCCCCCCTCCCTCAAAGACTGGTGATAGGGAGTAGCCCTAATTTGTAGCAGAGCAGTGTCACATTTCATTGTGGTATTGTGGTATTCACTTAACTTGGGGACCCATGGACAAAAACATAAATCAGCATCTATGCACTGAACCGTAATTTTCATTGGATTACTTCTTCCATCTCAGGGCCTGAAAGCGGGAGACGAGATGGCGATTTGTCCGAAGCCTCCTTTAACTCCCCTCAGGGTGTGGCCATTAAAGGGGACACTGTATACGTGGCCGACACAGAAAACCACCTGATCCGAAAGGTTGTACCCTAAACTACCTCTTGAAATAACTGCATTTTTAGCATTAAATGTCATGTTTCTTGATGTTTATCTGTTCATTTATGCCTGTCTGTGTGTGTTTTTCTTTCTATCAGATTGACCTGTTAGAAGGAAGAGTCAGCACCCTTGCTGGAGTAGGCATTCAAGGCACAGACAAAGATGGAGGGGCCATGGGACCTCAGCAGCCCATCAGCTCTCCTTGGGATGTGACTCTTGGCACTGCCGGTGAGTCTTGTGGTGCTGTCAGTCCCCTCTGCGCCTGCCCTTGCTCTCACCGTCTGCCACACACAATCCCCTCTATCCTGCTGTTTGGTTCCTTTATGCATGCTGCTATACAATCAATAATTCCCGAGAGAGAGACAGAGAGAGAGAGAGAGAGAGGTCCCCACCTGTTTCAGATTGCTTGGACATTGTTGGGTCTCATTTAGCAGTTCACAGCTCCGTTAGATTGAGGTGAAGGTGAAAGAAAGTAGGAAAGGAAAGAGGAAGTAACTACATCTCACCCCCTTCGGAAACATTTGGGTGTGAATTCTGGTGTGATCACACCTTGAGAGGGATTGTTTGCATCTTGCATATTTAAAGCAATTAGAGAGCACCAAAAACATGCACTACTGGATACTTCACATTGATAAAAATTACACTGTAACTTCAAAACAGGAGGCCCTGACCATTTGCAATTTTTTAAAAATTGGCACTACATAATTGATTTACAAGACAAACAGGGGAGCCAATACTCATTAACATCTAAGTCCTTCATTTTTCAGACTATTCTTCAACCTGATTGCAAATACAACAGATATCAGCGCACAAATCTCACATCATTTTTAAGGGATCCTTAGAGGAGTTATTGAAAGAGACTTTTTAATCTGTAGGATCTAATATATGGGGGATTCTCAATAAACCTATTTGCCTGACCTTAGTTCTACTGAAGTAGTTTTAAGACAGAAATCCATAATATGCAAGTCACAAACTGCTATAAACTCTTTGACAAGGTCTTTCATATTCTCACAAAGTAACCCCCACTTCAAAATCAAAGCTCAATCCCTCTACAAATGCTCTGCTTTTATTATTTTGCCTTGGGCATTCAGAGTGTCTTTATTATTTATCATTTTTAATATTTGCCACACAGGGCCTTTTTCATCAAAGCAGAAAGCTTTTTAAACTCAGCTTTTGAATCTCTCAGACCTTTTGTCTGTAAATGTTTGTGTATGTCTTCTGTTACCGTCAACGCTTGTTACCTGCGGGCATTCAGTTAAGAGATGCATATATACAGTACACCTATCAATATGGGTTAGGGTTAGGGTTAGGTTACCGTACGTTGTTGCAGAATTGTTTTGCTCTCAAGATAGGGCTTGATCATTTACAAATGTTGAATACGGGGTTATTATGTGCCACTTTGGCCTCATTTACTGCGTTTAAAAAACTAAAAATAAAACCGTAGTATATTTCTTTACTCTTTACTGTCAAAATAAAGTATTATTATTAGGATGTCAAACAACCAGCTTCAGTGCTTCTTCAAGCCGCCGGCAGTTATAAGCATGTGTTGGGCTGTCCCTGTGACACTGTGTTCTTACTTAAATCAAACAAAATATGAAAGTGTACACCCAAACCGAGCTGTTTATACTCTGCTTGTGGCGAGTATTGTACTCATCAACAGTCAGTTGACATTTTATAGAAATGTGATTGGTTATAGTCATGTGAATTTAAAGTACACACATTTTTTTTTTTTTTGCCTTTGCACACAGCTTGTACACATGAGGTAATCAGTCTTAGTCACATTTTCTGCACAGGTTGATGGATGACACAACCTGCTGGTTTGCACATAACCACATGGTCCGAGGATGTGGTATCAGACCTTTAACTCCAATAACATTGTCCTCTGAGAGTACATCCAAACAGGCATTGCATATTCATGATTTATTCACCATGTGCATGAATAACTATGTTGACCAAATCATGAGGACTTTACACTTTTTGAACTGTAAAGTACTGCAGTGACATTGATGCTGAGAGTCAGTTGCCGGAGTTGTTAAATGTTGGACCACCAGATGTGATCAAGAAGGTGATAAGCTCTGTGCTGCATTAAAAATACAACGGAGATACTGTATGTGTATTCATCATGATGACAGTATTGTCTCTGAGTGCATCTGAGGTGGCATATGGCCTTTGTCAGACAGGCTGCTGTCACTTAAACCTGCACGGCTGCATTTCTGACTCAGTTTTGACACCTCAGCCTTCACCAAACATTCACAGCTTTTTGGAATCATTAGATGAGCATAGACATTTCTTTATAATTGTGTGAAAATAATTGATTACTTTATCTATTTTTGTAGGTATAGTGATGAGAAAATTGTATGTGAGCTCAAACAGACCTGTAAATAACTTTTACCTTTAGGACAAATATTAGCACCACAACTGGATGTTATTGAGGGTGACTGGTAGCCAGCCAAAAGCAGTGACATAGGTTTCCTGTTTCTCAAGTCAAAGAGTGTGTTTTGGTGTGTGATTGTATGTGCTTTTAATTTGTCTATGTGTGCGTGTGTAGGCGGTGTTGAAGATAACGTCCTGTGGATAGCCATGGCAGGGACCCACCAGATCTGGGCTTTGTTCCTAGCAGATGGGAAACTGCCCAAAGGAAGGTGAGAGACTGTACATGACCACCATGGCCACTTGGCAGCAGTAACTCTTCAAAGCCACTCATAACTCTTCTCTAAGAAGTAAATTAATTAAAAGCTAATAAAGACTCCCCCTCATGACTTGTTTTATATATGTGTGGCTGGCTGTTTCACAGGAAGTCAGTCATAAAGATTATGTAATAATATGTCAGCGTTAACCACAAAGAAACGTCTCCATCCGAGGGGCTTTCCATCATGAAAAAAAAAAGGCATGTCTGTGATAAATAAAAGGTCACATGCTTTATTTGATTTCTACATATCCAGTCAATGCATTGAAATGCTTTGTTGTTGTCTTCTATTCTACAACATAAACAGTGAGTCCAAAGCAGGGGCGTGCGTGCGGTGGGCAGGTAGCGGCAGCGAGGAGAACCGAAACAACTCCTACCCCCACAAGGCTAGCTTCGCCCAGCCTTCAGGCCTGGCTTTAGCCCCAGAGGAACCCTGGAGCTGCCTGTACGTGGCCGACAGTGAAAGCAGCACCATCCGTACGCTGGCACTGAAGGATGGTGCCGTTAAGTTGCTGGTTGGGGGGGAAAGAGACCCAATGGTGAGTGTATAGTAGTCGATGGAGGGATTTTTTAACATTATTTCCTAGTTTCTCTTTCTTCTACTACATACCCTTTTAGTTTATTTCTTTACATTAAGGTGGTGCAGAATTCCCTACCAAATCTTAATTCTGAACCAATTTTCATCAAATCTGTTATGTTATGAATGTGAATTGAAGTGGAACCTGATACCTGTATTTGTAGGAATTCATTCAGCCATTGGGGGTGGATCAGCTCTATGCCAAAACAGTCAGGAGTCACCACCACCACCAAAATGCTGCAGGCATGTGCAGCGTGTGGATGTATAAACAATGAAATATTCAAAGCAAAAAACAGCCACAGCTTGTCAGACCAGCACTTTGGCAAAAATACAGAATGAAAACAATGAATACATGTATACTGGTGTGTGTGTGCGTATGTGAGGTGGTACATCAAGTATAAACACCTGGTAGACTACAAATTGCTTCTCTAACCCATGAAACTGGCCAGAAAATAATTCACCTATGTTGAATTGTACGTTTTCCTTTTGACACATTTCACATTTCACAAAAACAAGCAACGAGGTGGCTTTATAACATAATAGATATAGAAATCTACATTTTTAGAGAAACTGAAAAAAAGCTAAAATTCAAAATAATTAACACTTGATGTTGCCTGTTCATAGATCGGAGCCTGCGTGTCCAAATGGAAGTTGTGGATATTCAGAAGGTACATTTTTTGGCATAGAGCTGATTAGATCCAACCCTAGTAACCAAATTAGTTCCTATATCATGTTCAATTCATCACATTTATAATAATAACCAAATTTCCCGAAAATCGATTCAGCATTAAGCGAGTTAGTCGATTTTGTAATCAATATGGCGACCACGCAGAGTTTTCTCTTACCTAGTCAAGGGTTGTTTTTTTGCCCCATCTATTTCAATGTTTCTGTGAACTGAATTTCTTACAATGCAATGAACAGAAGCTTGAACAGAAGGTAGAGGACAATTAAAGCCTATTCCCAATGAAAGCTGCAAGAATTGAATAACCTCTCATGCAGTACTTCCAATGATAATGTGTCCTGTACCTGACTCTGCCACCATTCATCAACAGCAAACACACAGTGTATGCACATGCACATTAATCTACCACAGTTCCAGCCATAGAAAACACACACACAAAAAAAACGTTGCACAAAGCTTTGGATAGCTAGGCAATCACAAGGCTTCCAGGCCATTTCTCTATTGATAGAAATTATTGATTTAAAAAAAATACATAAATAAACACAGCCTCTCTTGCTTGCTCCTGAAGCAAAGCCGAAAAACAAATTTTGGTTGTACTTTCATGTCCTCGCTGCCGTTCTGCTTTAGTTTTTTTTTTTTTCCGCAACACTAGTGTATTTTTGGAAAGCCCCGAGAGCTCTAACGCTTGTAGTCACCCACGAGAACGGGGAGTAATTAACAGGAGCGTCGTATACAGTTTATTCAACACGGGGGTGAGTCAGCAAAAAGCATTAATACTATATAGTCTGCTGCCTGTAGACATTTAAGCTATTTAACATAAAACCTTAAGCAGGATTAAAGCTGTTAGTAAATGTGTATCTGAGGTGAATTGGCAGGACATTTTCATCAGCATATGCTGCGTCTGGCCATTGTTTAATCATTCCCCCAGCTCCTTGAATAGTTTTGGTCTCTTACTGAGCTGTTGTTTTTAAATAATCTTCTTTCTGGGATCATAATGTCAAAAATTCTGTTCCTAACAACCTCTTCACATTGATTTAATAATGAAATACTTGAAACGAGTATGAAGTTTGCTGACAGTATTATAGCAAAGACCAGGAATCCATTATAGAGTCAGTTAAGCTCTGTCGACTATATAATACAGCAAGTATTTAGTCTTAATGAACTACCTGGACATTTTGGGAAATACACTTCGGAAGATGGACTGATTCAATTTATTTGTATAGCGCCAATTCATAACAGAAGTTATCTCAGGACACTTTTCAAATAGAGCAGGTCTAGACCGAAACTTTAAAACATTATTTACAGAGACCCAACAGTACCACCATGAGCAAGCACTTGGCGACGGGAGCAAGGAAAAACTGCCTGTTAAAAGGCAGAAACCTAGGACAGATCCTTCGGCTCTAGGTGGGTGGTCGTCTGTCTCGACCAGTTGGGGTGAGAGAGAGAGAGAAGAGAGAGAGAGAGAGAGAGAGAGAGACAGAGAGAGAGAGAGAGAGACAGGCAGACAGACAGATAGACAGGTGCACAGCAGCAACAGTAACAACAACTACACTAATAGTAGTGACTGATGATGATGAACATGGCAACAGCAACGATGGGGGACAATGAGCAGTGACAATAGTAATAACAGTAACTGAGCTATAATAATATTAATAATAATAACAATAATATCAGTGATATTATCAATGGCAGTCAAGCAGGACCATGGCAGGAGGCTCCACCAGGATCCATGAGAACCTGCGAGATGAAAAAGCACAAGAACTCCGGGGAAGAAGTGAAGTTAGTAACATGCATTAATGGAACATGAATGAGTGCAGAAAGAGAGAGGAAGAGAGGAGCTCAGTGCACCATGGGAAATCCCCCGGTAGTCTAGGCCTATAGCAGCATAACTAAGGGATGGTTCAGGACTCGCCTGAGGCAACCCTAACTATAAGCTTTATCAAAGAGGAATGACTTAAGCCTACTCTTGAATGTGGTGAGGGTGTCTGCCTCCCGAACCAAAACTGGAAGCTGGTTCCACAGGAGAGGAGCTTGTAACTGAAGGCTCTGGCTCCTGTTTTTTTTAGAGACTATAGGAACCACAAGTAGCCCAGCATTCAGAGAACGTAGTGTTCTAGAGGGGTAATAGGGTACTATGAGCTCTTTAAGATATGAAGGGGCCTGACCATGAAGAGCTTTATAGGTGAGGAGGAGGATTTTAAATTCTATTCTACATTTTACAGGGAGCCAATGCAGAGAAGCTAGTACAGGAGAGATGTGATCTCTTTTTCTAGTTCCTGTCAGTACTCGTGCTGCAGCCTTTTGAATTAACTGGAGCGTTTTAATGGACTTATACTGACTGCTGATACTACTGATAAAAATGTACACTAAATATAAAGCTACAGCTTGCATCTGGTTAGCATTGACTTGAAACAGGGGAAACCAGCTAGCCTGGCTCTGTCGGCACCAGCACCTCTAAAGCTCGCAAATTAAAACATTGTATCTTGTTTGTTTAATTAATACAAAACACAATGTCCGACAAGTTGTGGCTTTACTAGGGGTTATGTGACTGTTTCTTGGTAGAGGACAATACTTCCTGGGGTTGCCAGGCAACCGGTGGAGACTGCACAAATGGTTCTCTTCACACTTCGGTTGTTGTACAGGTTGAAATGACATATGTGTTAATTAGTGAGCTTTAGAGGTAGACGTTTCCTTGTTTTGTTGTTACCTTGACAGAGAGCCAGGATAGCGGCTTCCCCAGTACATGTATATGTATAATATGTATAATATATATACCTAATTTCCCCCCCGGGGATCAAGTATTTCTGATTCAGATTCTAATATGTTAAATCACAAGCCTTAACTTTTAAAATGTCTGTATTTTTCAAATGAAAAGCTAAAAGTTAGTAAGTTAGGAGGTATGTGCAATGTGCTGTGTTTCAGTACTTGCTCAGTATTTCTACTAACAATTGAATCTCAATCTGAAACAGTGGTCACACACCTACGGTCAAAAAGATCATTTGAGCGCATGTGAAACCACCGGCGTGATTCTGCTAGAGCAAGTACAGATTTTCCCAAAGATTTGGGTTTCTTTGGCAGCTGGTAACTATTTGTGGAGCTGTAGAGAATCATGAGACCTTTTTTAAAAAAAAATAGGATTATCATCTCTTTTTTTGTTTTGTTTATTGAGCTGAGTGTTACAGAATGAAAAGCAATTTATTTCATTTAATTTTCTCATAAATTGGATGTTGATTGGCTGCAATAGTAATTTCTCTGTTTGGGTCATGTTGGCCTTAAAACAATTTGTAGCACTTAAGAGATGTTTTCGCTTAATTAACTTTTTGTCACCAAAAACCATGAAGAATTGTCTTTTTAAATCCATTTCTACCACATAATTAGAGAATATTTAAATTACATTTATCATTAATGTTATCTTACTTTTCTTCAAAACCTCTCAAAAACTTCCCCTAGAATGACTCTTCTAACTATTTTTAGCACAGTAACTATGCAATTTAAAGATCTTGTCATCTTTCTGGTGTTTCTTACAAATGTGGCAGATTCATTCTTGTGTTACAGTTCTTGTATAAATTATTCAGAAACCTTGTAGCATAATGAAGCAAATGTTGCTTTCATTTTTTTATTGCAAGTGTTTCTTCAAATGAAAAATGATCATTTGCAGTATATGAGAAAGGCTTCAGCTTGCATTTTTCAGAGGAAAGTCCGTCATCTTGATTGTGTAAAAGCCATCCTTTCTTTTCCGTCTTAATGAACATGTTTTAAAGACTGTTAGGCGGTTCACAAATTTAAATTGGATATTCTGTTAGATTAAGGTAGACATAAGTGTCACAAGTTGCAGTTTGGATGTTTGTATGTTTTCATATCTTCATTTGATCTCTTCTGAACCTTTTTGTCTCCTTTGAACCAGAACCTTTTTGCTTTCGGAGATATAGATGGGAAAGGGGTTGACGCCAAGCTGCAGCATCCCCTCGGCGTTGCCTGGGATCCTGAACAAAGCCTGCTCTATGTGGCCGACTCCTACAACCACAAGGTAACTGTTGGATGTCACAAGGCTGTGGTTCAAAGCCCTAGTATGCTAACATTTGATGCTTTTGTCGTCATAATGGGTTCCTTTAAGTTTTTGAGTGGATGTTCAAAGCGCGTATCTCCTTTTGATCTGAAACCATATAGAGAACACTTGACCTTTTTGTTTAATATAACCCTGGTTTTTGTTCTGTCTGTGTGCCCGTGTGATTATGTTCAGATCAAGGTGGTGGATCCAAAGACAAAGCAGTGTAGCACATTAGCAGGGACTGGAGAGGCTGGAGATACTCTGGGCCCTGAATTTAACAAATCCTGCTTCAACGAACCAGGAGGAATCTGCGTTGGAGACCACGGCAAGCTTCTCTACGTGGCCGATACCAACAACCACCAAGTCAAAGTTCTGGACCTGGCCTCCAAGACTGTCTCACTGGTCAGACCTGTGTGTGTGTGTGCGTGTGCGTGTGCGTGTGCGTGTGCGTGTCCGTGTGCGTGTGTGTGTGTGTGTGTGTGTGTGTGTGTGTGATGTGTGTGTGTGCAACCTTGAGAAAGCACTTTACATTTTGTCCATGTGTGTATCATTAATCCATCCTAAAAGCATTTATACTTTGAATAAAAGGTTACTAAGAAAGGACATTTAAGTATATCAGCAGCTCTTTCTCCTTGCTCCTCTTTAACCCAAACATCCAAATCTTTCTCCTGTCCAGTTCCCCATCTCCACGGTCTGCACAGACTCAGTACCTTCAAAGCCTTCGGGGCCTGCCAAAGCCCCCACGCTGCCTAAATCAGCTGCCAGGAAAGAAATGCCACCAGTGGCGGTGTCAGCAGGCCAGACTCTCACCATGACGATCGCCCTGTCGCTTCCAGAAGGAACCAAACTAACCGAAGAGGCCCCCAGCTGCTGGGCTCTTTCATCTGAGGGTGAGATACAGTTCAATCACTGATACAAATGTCATGCATGTAAATGTTTTATTTAGATCCCGCAAGTACGTTTGACTTTGTAGCCGTGCATCTTGACCGTTTGCTAAGCCTCACCCTGTTACTGTTGTGAGGCATGCAAAGTTTTCCATCATCGCAGTTAACAGTGATAACCAAGGCAGATTTAACTCTCGAAATTGTCATTTTAAAAACAATGGGTGATTTCAAACAAAGACAACAACCAGTTTTGAAACTTAAAACCTGGTTTTCAATTTGCATTTCCTGGCAACAAACATGAAGTCATACTAATAAACTAAGGCTATACATGTAGAAGACATGGAAATAAAAGAGCACTATTGTTTTTCTATTGACATGCATGACAGAGCACAGCTGTAAGGGGAAATGTTAAGATCATTTCAGTCAGTTTACCAAGTTAAAGCTACGTTAGCATTCCGACTGTAGGTAGTGAGCTAGTTAGCCAGACATGAAAAAAAGCTCTCGCTAGATCACACAAATAATAATTCCTTACACTTTTGCTCTTGAGTTTTTGGTTTTGTTAAGGCTAAAAAAAACACACACCTAGTGCCTAGTTAAGCTTGCCAAGCTATGATTGGATAATCACTGTTCGTGGGCGGGGTTTAGCGAACAATCAGTTCTGAAAGTACAGCCGTATTTGACGAAGACTTGACAAATATCCAGGTTTATTGAAGAGAGGTGGAGGGATTTAGGCAAGAGGACGGTCAGGAAGTTATAGTGAAAAGACACAAATCTAATTTCCTCACTTGGCTGCTTTTGTGAAAGTGCATTTGTCTCTCCAGTTGTCCAAACCCATGCTGTGCAAGGCATGGTTAATTCATATTTAGAAGAGGCCCTGCTATTGTTTTCAATATGTTTTCAAAAGTAAAAACAAAAATTGCACGCTATCTGAAGTTATTTTTTTCCAGAGTCAGAGTAGCAATCCAAAATTATAATCACCCTATTGTGGATGTGAGCCACTCAAACCTCTCCTACTCTGCTTTATTTTGGTCTGTTATTTGTGTTCTGTCAAAAAAAAAAAAAAAATGGAAGTGAATGATGCTTAAGCTTCATGTACACCGTGCAACAAGCAGATTCTCACTCTGCCGGCCCACGTCTGGGATTTATAGTTCTCAGCTGAGGTAGGAAGGAATATTTTGATCAGTCAGAGTCTTTTAAAGCACCGCTGAAGGTTATGCATTGCATTGACAATTTGATATGTGATTTTTACTGCTTCATACAGTTCAAAAAGGCTTTGTTCAATGGTCTCAAACTGTAATCAACAGTAGTCTGACCCTAGGATCGAGTGTGAAGTGAATTGAGATATGTGGTTGATGGTTCGTTCATTAGGTTTGGAACAAAAGTGTTTCCATCATTCTGAGCGATACAGCATGCAGTCAGCGATATGAGCGCGCTATTTTTAGAACATTTCGATAAGACGACATGCCTTGGTTCACATAATTAGCTACCAGGCTATGTTACGTGATCCCGCGCTGTCCGATTATACCCAGTCTAGACTCACGCTGATCAGATCAGAGCAGAGGCAGGAATTTTAATGGATCAAGTTAAAAGTGCACGGCAGATCTAAATTGTTTTTAGTGGCTTTTTAGAAATGGCTTCCCTGGGACCTCATGTTAGGCCTCAGCTTCATTAATCACCGCTGGCATGGATTTGACGGTCTCCCTGGCATAATATTTTCTCACAGTTCAAATTCTAGCCCTTTCTTTTTCGTCTTTCATTTATCTTTCAGTGCTCACGTCTCATTGGATGTGTGTTTGTGCCTAAAAATATCCCCAGCGTTTCAGTAAATTCATGTCCTCACCCTCGCTCCATCTGATTCAGTGGGGTTATTCGGGTTTGGGGCTAATATTTTAGAGGATTCAATTTGGAAGTGCTGTGTAATGCTCAGGTTGAGCTAGTACACAGGGTGTCTCCGGGGATGACAGTCTCAGTCCACCACTTTGATGCAGACTTAAAATATCTATTACACGGATTTCCATGAACTCTTTCACATTCATGGTCCCCTGGGGGTGTATCCTTATGACTTTGTTGATCTCCAAACTTTTCATCTAGCAGCAGGTTGACTTTTGACTTTCTCCTGTACTTTAGTTTATGACCAAAAACCTGCAAAATGAACGACATTCCCACCAGCCTCAGTGCTTTTTGTTTTGTGCTAAGTAACTAGTGTTAGCATGGTAAAACACTAAACTTAAATGGCGAACAGGTAAACATTAGCTTGTTGTGTTAGCTCAAAGCACTGCTGCTGTCTAACTACAGCCTCACTGAGCCGCTAGTATGGCTGCAGCCAGATTGTATCAGACTGTTGATTTAGTCCATTTGACAGACTTTGGACTATAAAATTCTGTTTCCTGTTTTTTTCCACAGGTAACGAGTGGCTGCTAGAAAGTCCGGTGGTTACTGGCGACATTGTGGATCTGTCGAAGCCCTTCTCCATCTCAACCAAACTTCCCGCTGTTATAAAGGACTCAAACAGAAATCCAAGCCTCACTCTGGCTGTATGGGTGTACTACTGTATGGAAACAGGTAATGCCTGTATGATGAAAGCAGCCTCTTTCAACCAGCCTCTTCAAATAAGTGCCAGTCCTGGAGAGGAAGAGGTCACTGTGGTGTTGGCTCACGCCTTCTAAAACCTCTTACCTGTCTTAGCCACAACAGCCACAGAGTCGACACTTTTTGTGGCATTGAAATGTCAGTTTTACTTTTCAGCTCCAGCTCCTGTTTTGTTCATTGTTCTGGAAGAAGGAACAACGGATCGTTTCTGACCTGTCACTTCTAACAAAAATACAATTCATACAAATCAGATTTTCAGGAGAATTTCATTTCAAACTAGAAAGAAAAAGAAACTCAGAAGCCCCTTCAATGAAACATAATGCATCAATGCTGTAATGTCCTTGAGTGTGTGTGGCAGTTATTGATAGGAATTCAAATTGTTTTATCCCCAGGCCATGTTATAAAGGCTGTACAGCACAACTGCAACCTGAAAATCTATTTCTATATGATAGTGTATTTATGCAACAGATTCCTATGAAGACAGACTGTACCGACTAACTGTAAGAAAGCTGTTTTATACGTGGAAAAGTTACCTTCTTATTTATAAAACTGTGTCACAGGACTACATTAATACAGAAAACAAAATATATTCTGTGTATTTATTGAGAAACTTACCTAATTGGCAGGTGGCGATGATGGTGTCAGTGATGGATGGACAAATCATCAGATATTCTGTGATTTAATGACGTTTTGGGGGATTTTAAATACTTTAAAATATTCTAAACAAATCTGAAACCTCTGATCATCTTCATATTTGGATGTGAATTTCAAAGACTCTATTTACTACTTTCAGATGTTTTTCAAATTTAGTTTTTGTCCTCAACTTCCAAGGAGTAATAACCAACCAAGTTTTGTTGTTGAAAAATTAGCCAAAGCCTTCTGTTTGCATTTGAAACCATTTTTCATTCAAATTAATGGAGCATTTTCCTTCAGTCCCATTAATGGAGCTGATGAGTGATTCAGACTAGGAGAAAGAAGTTTTATCCTGCCTTTGTTTGCACAAGCATTGCCAATATCAAGCAGTTTCTCAAAAATATGATATATATATATATATATTATTATAGGAAGCTAAAAATCTCAAACCTTTCCTTTAATCTTGAGAAGATAATTAGAAGTTGACTATGCAGGGACATTTTTATTATTATTAATATATTAGAAATGTCCAGCTCCAAGTACTAGTTCACATCTTCACTGTATACTTTTTTATTAATTAATGTATGTTTGCTTTAGTTTACAGTCAGTCAGCTAGGATGGTGCCTTCAGGCACACTAATGCAGCTTTCATAAATATTTCCGCACATATGTCACCACACCTCTTAAGTTGTTTACAAAGTTCACAGTCTCTAAAAGGTCACGCTCATAGCCTAAAGCTTTGTTCTGTCTCCCCTCCCTGTATGACTGATTATACTTTTGATTGTGATTATTCATGACACAAGAAGCTCTTTTGATTTACACCATGAAATATTGCTCTTATCTAAGTAATGAATAAAGTGCCTGTTTTCAATAAGAGGAAGCAACCTCCTGTGAACTGATGACACCGACTGAAGTCTTAGTAAAATCTCTCTATCAAGCATTTATAGATTTCATCTCTAGATGAAGAGATGCTCTAATAATGTTTTACTGTAATACCTTTTTTAATGTATAATATGATAATGCGGACGATGTTATTGTCATTTTCCCTTATTGGTTTTCAAAGTTATGAGATGTTGTCAGAAAATGGGCCTGAGTGCGTTTTCGGGTTATCACCGCTCTCATCGTGTCTCACAACATAATTGTGCTTTTTCAGACTGTTTCTATTTGGTTTGGATCACTCGGCCCAAGTGCCTTTGCAAAGAAGTGTGACTGAATGGATGGCATGAAACTGATGACACTTTAACTGTATCAAAAGCAATAACAATATATTACTGTAATGGGAGAAATGTTTTATTCCCACAAGTTATTTATTTCAAACAAACTGCAGACCCTTTGTCAGTGTGTTTTCTCAGCTCTGTTATCCCTTTGGCATTTTTTAATGAACAGTAATGAGCTTGAGTGGCTGCTGGTGGGCATTAAGTTCCTCATATTTCTTTTCCAGCTCTCACTTGATTTCTTCTCGCTGTATCACCGTTTTGGGCACATTTTGGCATGATTTCTTTTTTTTAGGGGGATCTTGTTAATGTCTGCTTCTCAGTGCTGCACTTTAAGATGCAACAGAGCAAGAGAAAAGTAATAAAACATTTTTATCCACTCCAGTGTGTGTGCGTGTGCGTCTGTGTGCGCGCCGGACCGAGGAGGAGGTTCAAAGAGCATTGCTGCAATTCCTCATATTCTCTTTACGTATTTCCAGCCCTCAAAAATCAGGTCACTTGGCATATCTACAATTACTACATTAATGCACTGAAAGACAGCAGGACGTGTGTGTGTGTGTGTGTGTGTGTGTGTGTGTGTGTGTGTGTGTGTGTGTGTGTGTGTGTGTGTGTGTGTGTGTGTGTGTGTGTGTGTGTGTGTGACGTGTGCGTGTGTGTGCGCGCTGTGTGCGCTATTAGCAAAAACAATTTTCACTTTTAATGGGAGCTAGCTCCCTCATACATTTGTCACATTGCCAGGTTATATGTGAACCGGCCTCAGAGGACAGACTTCACATGGTCACTTCATAACATATGGTAAATATTTTTTTTTTTGTTAATTTTATTTATTAATTTTTTATTTATTATTTTTAATTTTTTTTTTAAATTTTTTTTATATTTTTTAAGATTTTTTATTTAAAATTTCAAAATCTTTTACCTCTCATTTGTGTGCATTCCTTTTACCAGAAGTAAACACGTGTGTGTCTCTAATTAACTCAAATGTTGTCAATAAACCAGTAAATCAGAAGCTTCCAAAGACATGACATCATCATCTGGGCTTTCCCAAATTGTTTAAAGGCATAATAATCTTAGTGTATGTAAACTTCTGACTTTGAAGAAAGTAATAAAAAATCCTTCTCTCATTATTCTGGCATTTAGCAAATAGAAATAATTTTGGTAATCCTAACGGACCTAAAACAGGAAAAGTGATTGTCTAATTTCATGTCAGACAGTGAGGAAAAAAAAGCATATGTGTCTTTTATACAGTGTATGTAAACTTCTGGTTTCAACTGTACATATGTTATGATGGTAATCTATTGTGAATCAGAAGTCCCTAGCAGTTTTATGTAATGCATCTAGAAAGCTGATGGTAATGGGATATTCAGGACAGATTTTAATGGTTGATGGAGGAGGAGGAAATATTGAATTTGATGATTTTGTCGTTGAAGTTTCGTGCCTGTTGGCTTGAACTTAACTTTAGAAATTTGACATTAAGAACATACATTAGTGTAATTAAATATTATGCAGTGATAACATCGGACTTAAACTTGTTTTTCATATTTTGAAATGTTTGCAGATGACCATGAATGCAGCTGATGCTGTCATTCCTGTGGAAAGCTCCCACCATGCTGTCTTGTTAGAGACGCAGATGACTGAAACTTTGAGTCCATGAGACACTAATCAACAGGTACATTCATGTTTAGCACTTAAACTTTACTTCTAGAATATTTCTAACTCACCGTTTGTTGCTTTTTATGCCCTTTAAGCAGGTAAATAAGCTGTTTTTTTAAATGCATCTAGAAACATAATGGTAATAGGATATTCAGGACAGATTTTAATGTTCATAGTTTTTTTTTTTTTTTTTTTTTTCCCCCTTTTTTTTTTTTTTTTTTTTTTTGTGTGTTTTTTTTTTTTTTTTATTTGTTTTTTTTTTTTTGTTTGCTCTAAAGTTTTTTTTTTTTTCCCCTATTTTTTTTTTTAATAAGTTGGTGGGGGGGGGGGGGATTGGGTTTTTTTTTTTTTTTTTTTTTTTTTTTTTTTTTTTTTTTTTTTTTTTTTAAATTTTTAATTTAAATTTTTTTTTTTTAATTAATTTTTTTGGGTTTTATTTTATTTTTTTTTTTTTTTATTTGGTGTTTTTTTTTTTTTTTCCTTTTTTTTTTTTTTTTTTTTTAAAAATAATTTTTTTTTTTTTTTTTTTTTTTTTTTTTTTATTTTTTTTTTTTTTTTTTTTTTCCTTTTTTATTTTTTTTTTTTTTTTTTTAAAATTTTTTTTTTTTTTTTTTTTTTTTGTTTTTTTTTTTTTAATATTTTCCCTTTTTTTTTTTTTTTTTTTTTTTTTTTTTTTTTTTTTTTTGTTCCTCCATTTTTTTTTCCCCTTTTTTTTTTTTTTTTTTTTTTTTGGGGGGTTTTTTTTTTTTTTTTTTTTTTTTTTTTTTTTTTTTTTTTTTTTTTTTATTTTTTTTTTTTTTTTTTTTATTTTTTTATATTTATTTTTTTTTTTTTTTTTTTTTTTTTTTTTTTTTTTTTTTTTTCTGTTTTTTTTTTGTTTTTTGTTTTTCTTATTTTTTTTTTTTTTATTTTTTTTTTTATTTTTTTTTTTTTTTTTTTTCTTTTTGTTTTTTTACTCAATTTTTTTTTTTTTTTTTTGTTTTTTTTTTTTAAAAAATTTTTTTTTTTTTGTTTCCCCCCCCATATTTTTTATTTTGTTTTTATGTTTTTTTTTTTTTTTAACTTTTTTTTTTTTCCCCATACCCTTTTTTTTAAATTGGGGGGGGTGGGAATTTTAATTTTTTTTTTTTTGTTTTTTTTTGGCTTTTTTTTTAAAATTTTTTTTTAAATTTTATTTAGTTATTATTTTTTATTATATTTTTTATTTGTTTTTAATTTTTTTTTTTTTTTTTTGGGGTTTTGGGGTCCCAACCGTTTTTTTTGTGTGATTTTTTGCTAATTTTTTTTTTTTTAAATTTAATTTATTTTTTTTTTTTTTTTTTTTTTTTTTTTTTTTTTTTTTTTTTTTTTTTTTTTTTTATATATTTTGTTTGTTTTTTTTTTTTTTTGGTGTTTTTTTTTTTTAAAAATATTTTTTTTTTTTTTGGTAGGTTCTCCCCGTCGCCCTTATTTCTTATTTTATTGAATGAATAAATTTGTTATTTTTTTTATTACCTAAAAAATTGGTTTTTTTTTGTTTCGTTCCCCAAAAGAAGAAACGGTATGTTATGTTTTTTTTTTTATCTTTATTTTTTTTTTTTTTTTAATAAGGGGGGGGGGGGGGGGGTGGAGGAGGGGGGATTATTTTTTATTTTTTTTTTTTTTGTTTTTGGGTGTTTTGTGTTTTTTTTTTTTTTTTATTTTTTATTAATTAATTATATTGATTAAAGTAAATATTTATTTTTTATAAATTAGAACTTAATTTTTTTTTTTTTTTTTTTTAAATTTTGTTAAAGTTTGAAAGAGGGGAGGTTGGGGTGTTTTTTTTTGAAAACTGTTGAGATGTTTTGTTTTGGTTGAGGAGGAAGAAAGGTAAGTTTTGAAAACTTTGAAACAAAAAGAAACATTTAAATTTATATTTAAAATTTTAATTTTATTAAATTTTTTTTTTAAGTTTTTTTTTTTTTTTTTTTTTTTTTTTAAGGCTAAAAAAGGTTTTTTTATTAATTTTTAAAAAAAAAATGGAGAAAGAAAAAAAAAGAGGAGATTTAAAAATTTTTAAAGGGTTTGTCCTTTGAAAAAAATATCCCTCTATTCTGGGACATTCACGACGTCCCCATAGCACATCTTACATCAGTGTATGAATAGAAGCTGTGTGTTAAGTATCTGACAACCTAGAGACTTGGTCTAGCATTGGTCCCCATAAGGAACCACGACATGGTGTGTGATATGTCCCCACTAAGCTTGTTTATTCAATATGTGTGAAAACAGGCGTGATGCGTTTTTTTTTTTTTTTTTTTTTTTTTTTTTTTTTTTTTTTTTTTTTTTTTTTTTTTTTTTTTTTTTTTTTTTTTTTTTTTTTTTTTTTTTTTTTTTTTTTTTTTTTTTTTTTTTTTTTTTTTTTTTTTTTTTTTTTTTTTTTTTTTTTTTTTTTTTTTTTTTTTTTTTTTTTTTTTTTTTTTTATTTTTTTTTTTTTTTTTTTTTTTTTTTTTTTTTTTTTTTTTTTTTTTTTTTTTTTTTTTTTTTTTTTTTTTTTTTTTTTTTTTTTTTTTTTTATTTTTTTTATTTTTTTTTTTTTTTTTTTTTTTTTTTTTATTTATGTGGTGTTTTTCCCCACAATTTTTATTTCTGTGTGCGCGCCGGACCGAGGAGGAGGAATTCAAAGAGCATTGCTGCAATTCCTCATATTCTCTTTCACGTATTTCCAGCCCTCAAAAATCAGGTCACTTGGCATATCTACAATTACTACATTAATGCACTGAAAGACAGCAGGACTGCTGTGTGTGTGTGTGTGTGTGTGTGTGTGTGTGTGTGTGTGTGTGTGTGTGTGTGTGTGTGTGTGTGTGTGTGTGTGTGTGTGTGTGTGTGCGTGTGCGTGTGTGTGCGCGTGTGTGCGCTATTAGCAAAAACTTCACTAATGAGCTAGCTCCCTCATACATTTGTCACATTGCCAGGTTATATGTGAACCGGCCTCAGAGGACAGACTTCCTGGTCACAACATATGGTAAATACCTCTCATTTGTGTCATTCCTTTTACCAGAAGTAACACGTTGTCCTAATTTTTGCAGATCTCTATTGAAGTAATGATCTCTTCAGCTGGGTTTGGTCATAAACAAAGTCACAAGAGCCTTACGGAAGCAAGTGTGCAGGTTTACAGTCGTGATGAAAATCAGACACACATGGACTTCTCAGTCTGCTAAGAGTAATATGTCATATATGCCATACTATAGCAGTATAGCAAATGTAATGGAGTAAATATTACAATACTTGCTTCTGAGATATAGTGGAATGGACATATTAAAGGTCCAGTGTGTAGCATTTAGGAGGATCTGTGGGCAGAAATGGAATATAATATTTATGGGTATGTTTTTTTAAAATAAGAATAGTTTTTTTTTGTTACCTTAGAATGAGCTGTTTTTATCCACAGGCGCCACACCTTCCATGGAGTCCGCCATGTTGCCAGAAGACCAGAACGGACAAACCAAACACTGTCTGTAGATGGGGCTCTTTGCATGTACTGATGCGAGTGGTGTTCAGTTAGTTGCATCCTATACACTTTTTTTTATTTTATAAAATGGGAAAAACTCAAGCAAAGTAAATCAAATATTTACTTAAGTATAGTACTTGAGTAAATGTACAGTTAC